AGGTCTTCCTTCTCGAGTTATGACTAATTTACTGGATTGACCATCTCTGGCAAGAGATTTACCAAATAAATCAAACTACAGAATTTCGATTTGAAATTTACCCACATACTGATTTTATGACTCTAATCGTAATCTAAAAGTCTCAGACAAAATGAATGCTTATTTGTCGAAATGTTAAACTTCCATAAAACGTCGATTTCTTTTGACGTGTCTGTAGCAAGAAAGATTTTTCTTGAAAACTCGAGATTTCGCAATAGAAGCATTCATTTTTTCTAACAATTTTAGGCCGATATAAAGCCATAAGATCTGCATGTGAGCAAGATTTCAGATCAAAACATCGTAATTTGATTTCTTCGGTAAATCTCTTGCGATAGGTGGTGAACACAGTAGATTAATCGTAACTCGAGAAGAAAAACCTATGGGTTCTTATTTTTTTTTAGGGTTTTTCTAGTCTCATCGGGCCCAGTTATGGACAAAATATCAGCTCAAAAGCTCTGAATCGCCTGGGGTAGCTCTCCCGTAAGTCAATATTCTATGGCTTGTTCGTGTGCCTCTGAACTATTAGTTCAAATAGCACGCACTCATTTTTGTTCAAGCGTGCTTTATTAACCAGCAGATATTTGAAAAAAATTTTGATTGATAGTAAAGAACTGACACTAAACTCAGGTAGAACTTCACTATATTCTTATTGAGGAAAATTTTGAGTTGAGAGAGCAAAGAATAATATTGATGTGCGTAGTAAGTTCTTTGTGTGCGTTATAGTTGTATCATCTGTCGTATGCCATTCAATAGAGAAAACTGAGCTGTATGTTGAGGAACGAGAGAAACTCGANAAAACCTCGACTTGTAAGTTGGTTTTCAAATTTTAAAAACTTCATTTTTCCTAAATTTGGAATAACTCAAGATGGATAGGTGATATAAAGCTGTTTCAAACGTCAATATATAGAGGATTTAAAACTGAACAAATGTAGGGGTTTGACAATTTTCACATACCATGTGATCATGGTTTTCTAGAGGGTCTTTGGAAAATCCTTTCTCTGATTTCACTTATATTTTAGCTTTTTTGTGTTTTAAACTTCATTATTGAACTTTTAATGGTTTCTAGGATTAAAAATCAATTAAAATATCATAGTTGAACACTCAAGATGCTTCTAACATTTATATGAACATATTTCGATCTGTTATATTCGTATGTTATAAGGTAATACTGATATTTCTCTTCTTTGTATTCACCTAGGCAATGTCAGACCGATGTCTAGACACTGTCTGGACAATACCTAGCCAACATCTATAGAGATACAGACGTAGGTGTTCGTCATCAATGAAAGACAAGAGAGAGAAGATAGTTCACACAGCTGCCGTCCAGCATTATCACATTCTTTTCCATTATATATTAGTGCAAAGTTTGCACTACAAATGTTTATTCTTTATTTTAAATTATCATCTATTTCTAACTTGTATCTAACCAAAAATATGTGTGATATACGTTTATTGCCGAAGTTTAGCTTTGGCGATATTGAAAAATGCATTAAAGATAATCTTAATAAAGTTTGTGGTGGTGTTGCTGAGGATCATGCGACGAATTCGATGGTAAATGAAAAGTCCTTTGCTTTACATTCTCAATCTCATAATGACCTTGTAGCAAACAAACACAATGGATCGAAATATGTTCATATAAATGCTAGAAGCATCTTGAGTGTTCAACTATGATATTTTAATTGTTTTTTAATCCTAGAAACCATTAAAAGTTCAATAATGAAGTTTAAAACACAAAAAAAAATTAAAATATAAGTGAAATCAGAGAAAGGATTTTCCAAAGACCCTCTAGAAAACCATGATCACATGGTATGTGAAAATTGTCAAACCCCTACATTTGTTCAGTTTTAAATTCTCTATGTATTGACGTTTGAAACAGCTTTATATCACCTATCCATCTTGAGTTATTCCAAATTTAGGAAAAATGAAGTTTTTAAAATTTGAAAACCAACTTACAAGTCGAGGTTTTGTGTTAGAGACTTGAATTTTTTTTCAAAATGTTCGTCTTTCCATGCTAAATCTGAATATCACATTTAAATGTTTTTTCTAAAGACCATTGTTTTCAAAAATGCACCTTTTCCGGGATCTATAACTAAAAAACCACGGTTTTCTAGAAATCCATCTTTCGAGCGTTTGAAGAAAACTTCCTGGAGACAAAATGAAAGAGCATGTCAAGAAACCCTTAAGATCCAAAGGACAACATGATACATTCAGCCAATTTGAAGATAGGATTTTCATGTTACACGCCTATTGTCCTTGACGCGTTTTGGGGGACGTTCTAAGCTGCAGGGGTACTTTGTCATGCCGACGATCTGGCTTTCATGACAAGGTAAGCGTATGATCAGTTATGGCATGAGAATTGTTTAGGAACGTTAAGAAGGTTAGGCATTCCTGAAGCATATTTGCGCAGCATAGAAGCGTAATTAAAAGGAAGAAAGACCTACATTGAAGTAAAAGGTAACAGACCGAGGGAGTTCAGAATAATGAGAGGAGAACTTCAAGAATAATTACGGGTGTGGGTGTGTGGTCGTGGATGCAGTTGAAGATTAGTAAGGAAAAGAACTACACCCATACCCTTTGTTTGTAGCTAAGTGGCAAGTCAAAATATTCAGCGACGGACATTTTGATTAATGATATTGAAGCTTTTTATGGAAAGGAATCAGCATTGACAGCTGGAAACTGAAAATATAGAAGTAACGATAACTCATAAGGAAATTGACATTAGTGTAGTTGTTCAATTGTAAATCATTGCTCACCACCATATATAACTGACTAATGATAAAAGATACTGTTACAGATGTATGGCAAGCATTTCTGGAGGTACATTCAAACATGAACAAGATTCAAAGATCTATTGGATTCTTTCCAGGACATGTCAAGACGGCTTTGGCAGTACTCGTGAGATCATCGATTAGTACTAATGTAAATGTTCTTCCTAAACTACTTGATGAGATACAAAAGTTTGATGAGAACTGCATTAACGCTTCCAAATATACTGGCCAAGCTTTCGCCACGGTGAAGTTAGTACTAGAGGAAATAACTCAAGTGATAGAACTTATTCAGATTAGTTCAGTAACGAGAATCCGTCCAACAGAGATCGTATTAAATCCTTCGCGTGTCAATCAAGTGAAATCCATTAACTCAGCTGAAACTATCTACTCGTATTATAAGGATACCATTCGGACGGTCGAGTACTCCAAGGCGATTAAAGTCGTTTCTAGTGGTTTTAAGGTATTTCTTCCGGAGTTATGGCATGTTAGGATCACATTTTTATTGTCATCTATTCAGAGTATAGTCTATAGGCAACGGTGCAGAACGTAATTAGTCGCGATCTCCTCAATCGCCAATCGTATACCTCATAGCATTTGCTCTATTGGTATCGGATGCATTGGCGTAGTTATCAAAAGAAGTTAATATGTTTCTATCGGCTTCCGATAGCAGACACAACTCTTCATCTTTTGTAAATATGCTCGAAGATTTTAAAGCTTTCAAAATAGTTTTCGGGGCATATGTGAATTCCATAGTTGTTGGTAAGCCACGTGACTTGAAAATAAAAGTTTTGAGTCTGATTCAGCAAAGAAATCATCTCGTCGAGGATGTTTTAAGCATTGCCAACACGATATTAGGTAGCGAAAAAATCATCAAGTTCTCAGATTCTAATTCCATTGAAAATCGTTTCTCCTCATCGCTCAACGAAGTAAAATCCATCGCGTGATTAACAACGACTGTCGAAATGAATACATATTCCATTGGTAATATTGTAATTGAACCAACATCTCCAACCAACTCATGAAATCATCACCTGTCTGTTTAAGAAATGGCCATAAAACGCCTTCGCAATGTCAAGAAACGATATAATGACATATTTGCTGCACTCAGACAGAATCCAGAAGAAATGGTCAAATTATCGACAACGACTCTGAGGCCTGATTATCGATCAGATTTACTATGCTGTACTCCGATGATCGTTTAAAAGCACCCGAGATCATATAGAACAAGTCTACGAGCAATGAAATCAATTTGCGATCTGAGTAGCCACTCGATGATAATTGGAATACGGGCTAAGATACCTCTTGCCAACATTCTCAGCTTCTTTCTTAAGCTTTTCAATAGTTTTGTCTTTCTTTTTACAAAACTTTCTCGTACGTAACAAACATTTAATGAGAAAAAGTAATGTGAGTTGTGTAGTTGTGCTCTGTCTTTTGTTCTATGCAAAAAACGATTTTATCTTGGTATAATTGTCAGAGAGAATTTTCACAATCGATGAATAACGTGCATCATTCCCATTGTTCTTACTCGTCGTGTTTTTCATTTTGCCCTACTGTTTCTTTGTTGCTGTCGTGCAAAGTACAATATTTTTACACACAATAGATTTGAATAGCAAAGTCAATATTCGACTATGACTTACTTAAATCAGTAAATCATTTAAATGATGTTTGGGAATTTTCCATCTTATTGCGAAAGCAAATTCTCGAGACGCTAGTGAATAAAGGATAAAATAAGAATGGCAATAAAACAGGTTGACAATAAAAACGAAGTATATTTTCAATCTTCGATTACTGTATTTCGGAGAAACTCATTGAACGAATAGAAGTAACCCTCATGCAATGCTTGTTTACTCAGGTCGATGAAAACGAATAACGTATATGGGCCGCTGTATGATTGTGAATAAACACACGCATATATCGCCACTAGACATAGGCGTCAGTGGCGTGACTCACGATCGTAAAAAATTTCCTAAAAAGAAACGCAGCCATGACCAGAATCTAATCATGGTCACCAGATACACGTATGCATTGATAACAGAAAGATTAGGACGGATTGATCGTGAGCGTGACCAAAAACTATTGGTCACCCCCCACACCTCAAATTTCTAGCAGATGAGCAGAGAGAACCCGTGTGTCACATTAAAAAGAAGAAAGAGACATTTATTGTCGTTGTTGCAAAACAAAATAAAAGGATACCTACAATTTCTTTTTTATATTTTCGATGTTACGTTTTAATTCTGCGATTATAGGATGCGCTGATGGGAGCGATTTCTGGCGCATATCAAGTGTTTTCTCTAGAAATGAAAGTGCATTTGAGTAGTCACCGATGTTATCGTACACCAATCCAATGTTATTATACAGATAAGCCAAATCCGGATGATTAAGAGAAATAGTTATTTTTAGAACATCTAGTGCTCTCTCGAAAAATGAAAGTGCTTTCAAGTACTCGCCCATGTGATTATAAACTTCTCCGATGCCGTTATAGGAATTCGCCAATTTGCGGTCATTAGGAGGAAACATTTGTTGGTAAATATCGAGCGCTCGTTCGTAAAATGTAAGTGCTGTCGCATACTCTCCCATGTTATAATGCACCCAACCAAGTTGAAAATTGTTGTCCGCTCTATCTTCATCGTAAGTGGCCTTTTCCAACAAGATATTAAAAAGCTCTGCTGCTTTTGCAAAAGCTTCGACTTCAATAAGAATTAGACCCAATCGAGGCCAACCTTTTGCTGAACTATGCTCTTCGCGAATCCGTGTCATAAGTTTACTAAAATCATTGTCTTGGTTGCCGATGAGGGTCAGATCAACTTGCCAGAAGCGATAAGTATGCTTGTCTTCAATGCGTTCAACGCGATTAATGCGAAAAATCGCATGTGTCGTAAAAAGTATTTCTTCCTCTTGATCTTCAGAAAAGCTAACACTTTTGACTTCAGCAAAAGGAGTCGATGATGCCATGCTATGTGCTGGATCAATAGTTATAACAAACAGGATGCCAACTGAATTCAGATCGAATGCTGCCGGTCTTGCAAACTGTTTCACTGAAATATGACGGTTGCGACTTGTGGAAAGAAAATTGTTAAAGGACATAAGTCTTCCCTTTGTTTTTTTCATGTTTTCGAAGGCTTCTACGGATAAACCTTGTCCGCGAAAGACTTGGAATTTAGCTGATGTCCCCCTCTTACTGCTCTGTTGTTCCTGGTGTAAACTTTCGATATGTCGATGTAGATGACGAATGAAGAAGCCCATTTTAAATATAATATCGATATTCATTTGTCGAAGACCACGATTCAGCATCGAGTTAATACAATAGGGAGCTGTGTACCACCAAATTGGTGTATGACAATCATATTCTCGTTCGATCTTTTGAATTTCGTCTTCATCAATATCATCTTGAAGGCGACAATATTGAATGAATTCTTTAATAGACTTACTATCATCGTCTTCGACGTCCAAAAGTGTTTCTCTTAATAATTGCGCGTAGGTGAATAGAGCATCAATGCCATTAAAACTGATCGAAATCAAAGCTCGATCACATCGTTCACGATCCATTTTTAATGCTTCATAAATCAATTCGATTTCTGCGTACACGCCTTTTACCTTCGGTATTTTTTTGGTCCACTGTTCATGAACTAACTGATTGGTACAGAAAACATAAATTGAATCTAATTGTGGTATTGCTTGAAATTCTGGTACTACTTGTTGCGCCAGTGAATCTGATACAATCATAAGTATCTTTTCATCCTTAATGTCACTAAGACAAGTAAAACATTCTTGAGCATCTGTAAATATCGTGATTGATGCCACAATATGTCGTAGATCGCTCAGTGATTTTTGAAATTCTTCCTTCGACTCATCGATATTTTCATCAAGCCAGACGAGAAGGAAGTTTTGAAATGTTTGATGAACAGGTCTGTGAAGCATGGCACTCGTGTCCGTGCTTTTTGCTGCTGATGATAAAGACGAAGATAATGATTTCTTTGGTTTATTTGTAGTGGACAATAAGGATGAGTCGCTAGCAATTGTTTTTAAATTCGTCTTGTCCATGACGACGACAACGATGATGCTGGTGCTTTTTATAAAAGCCTTAACGGATAAAATGTAAATACTTCTTGAAAACGGTACGAACGAACGCAAACAAAATTCGTCTCTCTCTGTAGATGTTTTGCTTGTTTCTTCGTTTTGTGTTGACAGTGTTTTTTGGCTGGTTGCTATCGACTTTAAACACTTCTGATCTCAATTGCTCTCTCTCTCTCTTTTATTTTAAGAGTGCTGCTGACAAAAACGATGATGATGAAAGTAATGGGCGAAACCTTCTTGCATACATCAAGGGTGAAACAACGATCAACAAAAACGAAACAGACTAAAACGTTTGTATTATCGTCATTCGTAGAACTGCAAAAAATGAAACATTATAAATATACTTTTGAGAACGTTGCCATTAGCTCTCGTTGTTGTTCTGTTGGTTTTCTCGAACTTCATTAGAAAACCATGAAGATGATGGCAAAGTAGTTTCGATTAATGGCTTCTACTGTTGCCAGCATTGTCTTATTTATGCATGTTTCCATATCCCTTGCCTTGAGCCAATCAGTATGTTATCGAAAGGAGAAAAAAAACTGACGTTGTCTGTTGTTTCAACGCAAGATTTCAATAGTTTCTTTCTCGACCTTCTGTTGTTATTTCGTTCGTTGTGTCTTCGGTCTGAGGTATCCGATGAGCCAATAGGATCGAAAATTGTTCACCTATCGCAGATTCTTGGACATTTCACCAGAACAAAAGATTCGAACATACGTACTTATGATTACGAAGCTTATATAGATCAGATGAACTAGATATAAAATCTAAAACTTTGATAAACTAATGTTTCGACATGAAATATATTATGACTTCTAACCTTACGTACTAGGATATCGTAGGTTCACATTCAAGTTCTGTCAGGACTGATTCGACTAGTTCTACCGAATGGATGGTAAAATTCAAGTGTAATGACACGAGATCTATTCAACAAAGAAAATCGTACTTCGATAACATCTTTTCTTTTCAAGAAATCGTCAAACAGTCTCCCCGATTCTCTCTTGATCCGATATTTACTAGGCAGACTCGCTTGAAAACATGTTCGAACAAATCCAACAGCTATTCCAAGAGTTCCTCATCATGCTCTATTAAGTAATGAACATTTTATGTCAATAGCATACACTGCTTAGCAAAGCCAACACCTCAGCCACACTTGCTTCTCGTTTCTTAGTACGATGCAAAAATGTGATAATGAATCTTACTTGTGATTCGTTGCACCTTTGCAACAGTCTAATCTACCATGACCGAAGTCAAACTAACACTATTATTACAAATACATACGAAATTTTGAAAACTAATCTTTTAGGAACGCTTCAGTCAGAGAAATTAACACAGTAGAGTGAGACGCATACCAACACCCGCATCCTGTTCAGATACGAAATTGAAGATATGTTTTCTAGCCGTGTCGTCAATATTGGTCATGCAATGATTCGCATTCAAAGTACATTTTGTTATTCAGTAGAAAGAGCAAGAATATAGCAAAAAAACCTAGTTTTTGTACTCGTCATATAATGGCGGATGCAGCAGAATGAATGGTCAATTGGTGTTTTTTTACCATTCACATCAATTTTCTACAAGAGTGAAATAAAGTTCTTCCGCTAAATCTTGAAAGAGTAAAATCAAGTGAATAATACTGCAACACTCAAACATATGCAATTTTCTAGCATAAATAGCTCGGTTTGAGTTTATTGGTGGAAGTATTTTGAGGGATCGATATGATCTACTAGCCATTTTGTAGAACTTCAAAAGCTCTGTCTTTTACTTATGTTAGAGCATATTTTGTACCAATGCCTCTCACATCTGTTATATCAAGTAAAAACTAATATTTTCAGCTTAATTTTTATTCTTAATTTGAAGAGTTATATTTGTACAAAGCTAGAAAAAAAGTTTCAATTATTCAAGAAAACAACTTTAAAAAGTTTTGGCATATAAAAACTTCGCAGAATTATTTGTCTAATTGTTCTGCTTCAAAGTTTGGATAAAAACATGAGTGACAGTCTTGTAAATAATTAAGTTACGCATCTTTTGAAAGAAGAATCAATTTTGAACAATAAAAATTGACGGAAATTTTAACAAAATGCTAATCGACCACTTATTCTGGTGCATCTATTAGAAAAGAATTAGCGAGAATTTACTATACGATGTCATCATCTTGGTGAGAGAAAAATGCATCATTGGGTCAATGTCAAGCATATATTTTCTAATTTAGATAAAATTATCCCAACTAACTATTGAGATTATATTAACAGCTATTATAGCATCAATATTCCAATACAAATAGGTTGGGTGAGTGCGAGTGTCCTGTCTATCTACACGCATACTCACACCACCCCAAGGGGGGAAAAGCGCGACTCCAGTATGTGGAGTACCATTGAAGTACCACTGGAGTACCATTGAAGTACCATTGGAGTACCATTGGAGTACAATTGGAATATCATTGGAGTACCATTGGAGTACCTGACACTGGTACTCCAATGATACTCCAATGGTACTCCAATGGTACTCCAATGGTACTCCAATGGTACTCCAATGGTACTCCAATTGTACTCCAACTTTTTTTTGGAGTACATGGAGTCGCGCTTTTTCCCCCTTGCACCACCCACATCTACACCACACATTCACACTTGGAGGACTTTATTGAGTGATGATGAACATTCAGCAGGCCTATATACTCAGTTTCACTGAACTCAGCAAGATATTGTGAAACATTTGTATCAAAATAAATACAATGTTTGAACAAATGATGGATCAGAATATACCTTATCATAAAACAATATAATACCATCAGCAGTTGATCATTATGTCTATATTCAATATTCTGCAAGATTCAAAAGGTTTTCCATTCTTTGAGTGATATTCGAACTTATTTCATAGTAAATCAACTTTCTGGACTGCACATCGTTGAATAAAGTTTTGATAGTAGAAAGATGTCAAACCATATTTGATTGAAATAGTAAAGAAAATATTATGAAATTATAAAAGGTGATAAGATTTTCGAGTCAAATCAACAACAAAATTTATCTATAATGTTTTCTCTCTTAAATCAATGTTACCTGACTTTTTGTATTTTTCTTTCAAGCAAAAAATCGAACGAATTGTGTAATACGAAAGTAATTTATTTTTCTCTTTAGATCATTTGCTTGTACGTTACAATTCTTTGAAAAAAATTATAATCATTTTCGGAATAATCTAATTGATGAATATTGTGAATTATCGTCTGTCCAATAAAATGGTGACCGTGCGCATTTTTCGCAATAACTCAACAACGGAAACAGCTAGAAAGTTGCGGTTTTCATCATTATGTAGGTATATGAGTACTTGATATATTTATCAAGAAATCTAGAAAATTCTTTCAGTTTCAAAATTTTCCCATCGTCAATCTTCCAAAGAGTTGGTCTCTATTATTTTAAGTCCGATGGGAATCTATATGTCTCAACTATGCAAAAGGTCACACATGTTAAACTGGAAACTTCAAGCGGAATTCAAGTTTCAAATTTTACACTACCGCAATTAAAATGATATATGGCAGTGGCCTCTGCCTTTTATCACAAAACAATGGAAGACGGGTATGGGTGTCGCTAAGCATCATTTGCCGTCTATATAACAATTCAATACAAGATAAAGTCTTGTTTATCATGTATTTTGATGTGTATTTTTGAAAGTACTGATATTGCATAAAACACTTTTCATAAGTTTCAGAAAACGGCGTGTCACTCATTAGTGACAAAAGCTAAAGAGGTTGACTTTTTACCATTTTTTAGGAGAGCCTTCAGAGTACCTTTTGCATAGTTTAGACATACAGATCTCCATCTAACTTAAAACAACAGCGACCAACTCTTTGCAAGATTGATAATGGAAAGGGTGTGGCTGTAGATGTGCGACTACGGCATCTCTTTTCACAACTACACCCACGCCCATACCTTGTGTTCTCCCCATATTTAGTATAACCTGTTCTTATTAGAAACATTTTTCAATTTAGTGGTCTTATTATAAACAGAGCTTCTAATAAAAACAAAAATGTAATCACTCTGAAACTATCGCAAATTGTGTAGTTAGTTTTCGCGATAATTAAATGACTTTTTGATCATTCGCTTCAGCAAACATTTTTCTACTCAAAAATATTAAAAATTCTAATTTTCTTTTAAATTGTATAAACAGAAAGAAAAATCGCCCCGTCTCCAAGAAACTGTTCTAATTAGGAACATTACCTATATTCCTGATTCAGCCTCTGAGTTCTTCGACTCTCTTTCTCTATTTTGTGGAACTCGCATATATTTTCGAAAAAAATAATGAGGATAAGTTTAAAGTCGAAGTTTTCCGGCACCCACCCCTTCCCATTATAGACCTTAGCAACTTCCTGGCAAAAAACAGGAAAATATTATTTTCGAAGTTCAGAAATAAATAAAAGAAATCTTTACTGCAGCGATCGATTGTCTTGGAAAATAGCTATGGGCTGGTAGAAATTTTTCGTTTTACTTATTTTGCGTTAATTTAATGAGGCTAAAGAATTTATGTGAGGTCCACATTTCAGGTTCAAAGGGGCTGCGCCAACAAGCTCTTTGCTGTTTGTTTGCTTTTTTTTTATTCATGTTTGTTCTTGTAATGAAGAGCCCTGATAAGTGTTTTAATATTGTAATAAATAACACGAAACGCTTCAGCGAAACTCACTATGCATCTGTTTTTAATAGTTTTAATCAGAGTATATTCATTTATTATTATTCTCTTTTAGTTTGAATTCATGACTAGGTCGATTGCTGAAAAATAAGAGATGAGACTAACAGATTGATTTGCCTTTTCATCAAGAGAGATAGGTGAATGTGTTTATTTATTGATTTACGTACACTCTGACCTCAACACAATCACACTCACATCTTACTTTGAGAGGAGCTAAAAAAATAACACTTTTATCTTTTAAGCAAAAATATAGCTTAGAATTCTAGTCTTTCTTGTTTCTGTGAGTATAAATTTTTCTG